CGGTGCAAACTGTGCAACAGAACAGATGCCGCTGAAACAGCCCACAGTTAAACTGAGCCATTGGCTCAAAATAACAATGGAATAATACACTAAATTTGAAAAGAATGATGAGTGACTTCTAAGGAAAAACAACTGAATATAGCAGTTAACCATCTTTAGGAAGATGTACCTAACTGAACAACCTGCAATAAATAATATAGTACAGTAAATTTGGCGGAGGGATTTTATTGGTTGATCATGTCCTATCAAGTTGGAGATGACCCTTATGACCCCATGGATGGACTTGTCCTTGGTCCTTCAGGTCTCCCAATAGAGAGTCCATCCACCTTGTTGGTTGACTCATGTTGAATCAATGTTGATTGATTACGTGCCATCAAGTTGTTGTCAACTCCTAGCAACCACATGGATTTTCTCCATTATGATCTGGACTTTGCTCTGGTCATCCTCTTTTTCTCTTTCCTTCCACCTTTTCCAACATTAGAGCCTTCTCCAGAGAGCTGGGTCTTGGCACTGATAGATTGATGATCAAGTCAGTGTTGACTCTTAGCAACCACATAGATGGACCTTCTCCAGGATGATATGTGTCCAAACCAGTCCTTCACCTCTTCCAACGGTGCCCCCATGGCCGTTCTAACTGAATCCCTCCACCTTGCTGCTGGTCATCCTCTTCTTCTATTTCCTTCCACCTTTCCCACCATTATGGGCTTCTCAAGCTGGATGTAATGGTATGTGGGAATGACCTTGGGAGACAAAGGGAAGAGCTACAGGCAGGGTTGTGATGGTCCTGGGGTGCTTTTTCAGTTCTTTTTTCTGCCAGTGTAATGATATCTGGGAATGACCTTGGAAGACAGGAGGAAGAGCCACAGATTAGATAAGAGAAAGCTTAGCCTGCAAAAGGAATGAGGGCGTGGCAAGAGGCTCAGAAGAGACCCTATTTTCTTGGGTTGTAAAGGCGCGGGGAGAGAAAGGTACTTCCAGACTTGCAAGATTGATGTCAGCCTAGTGGGGTAGTCCAGACAGGAAGCACAACCAATAGACTAATTCTACTTTATTGTAAAGTTACATTAACAGAATTTTGCAGTACCTCTCTCCCCTGTCGCCTTACAGCCCAAAAAACTAGGAAGGATTCCTTTTGAGATGTTTGCCACACCCCCATTCCTGCTGTGGGCTAAGCTGCGTCTTATCTGACCATTGCCTAGTCTGTGGCTCTTCCTCCTGTCTCCCAGGGACATCCCCACAGACCGTTACACTGGCACAGAAAAGAACTGAAAAAGTACCCAAGACCATCATCTTGCTGCCATGTTCCTGTCCACATGTTGACATCCTAGGGCAGCCTTCCTAATCCCCCCCACCCAGGGATGATGGAAGTTTGGGTCCCTCACAATTAGAAGCCTCAGGATGGAGAGGGGCTGCTTGGGGAAGAAACAAATCACTCGATTCACTCATTTAGAACCCGCTGGCAGGACTGTTTGGAAGTCTGTCTTGGCTGCAAAGTGGGCTATGAATAGAAGTCAGTCTGGGAAAGTCACACGCAGGTGGCAGCATTTGCTGAGCCAGACGCCTGCGGGAACAGATGGCCGGGGTGCCACTGAGAAAGAAAAACATGAAAATCTCGAGAGCTGCGTGGGTTTGGGGGAGCTGTACCACCACAAAAAGGCCCGTCTCGATCATTTGAAGAGCTAGTGAACCTGAAAGGGATGTTCTCTCGCTTCTTGCACAGACCCACGGGCACACGCGCACATGAAAATCAGGCCCCTGTTGCTCTTCTGGCTACACAGCAAGACACGGTTTGTTGGTTCTCTTCAGATGTTTGGGACTTGGAGGCTACAGTGGCCCTTTCTCCTAAGCTTCGCCCAAACTGCCAGCGGTCGCATTTAGAAACCAAAAAAAATAGGGGCTGGGAAACCTAGTTGGGGGGCAGAGAAGTCCATAAGTGAGCTGCTGCATTTCAAAAGAACGGTCCTATCTGAAGATGCTTCAGAAGCAGAGCGTGGCCTGACTATGCTGGAAATGCAAAGGGTACAATTACGCTGTAACTCAGTGTTTCTCAACCATGGCAACTTGAAGATGGGTGGACTTCAACTCCCAGAATTCCCCAGGGCTGTAACTGTTCCTTTGGGATTTTACATGGTGGGAGCAGATGCAACCAGTCCAGTGTGGGGCTCCAGGTGAGCAGAGAGCATTCACTTCCCCAGCAGATGGATGCTCAGCTGATGGGGGATCTGCAGGGGAGGGTCAAAAGAGTCAAGATGGCACCCACAACCATGTGATCAAAGTTCTTCTTTCTGCCAACTCAGAACTGCTGAGACCACATTTGGCATCTTCCTACGTATGATGCTGGGCCCCAGGTTTCCAGAAGGATATTGATAAGCTAGAACAGGTTCAGAGGAAGGGGACAAAGCTGAAGGAACTGGGGATCTTAAATTTGGAGGAAAGAGGAGGGAGGGAGAGGAGGTGTGATAACCACGTTCGGGTCCATCAAAGGGTGGGTGCCATGGGGAAGATGGCCGTCAACTATTTTTCACAGACACCAAAATTAGAACCAGAATCTCCAGGGATCTGTTGCAGCTACCTGGATTTCATTCAAATATAAGCAACGTCTTAAATGTAAGACGTTGCTTATATTTCAATGAAATCTACGTATTGTCCAATGGGGGAACAGGTTACCTATGGAGGTGGTGGGTTCTCCCACGCTGAAGACTTTTAAGAAGAGGCTGGACAGCACCTCTCACGGATGGTAGACTTGGTTTCCCTGCACATTGAAGAGGGTTGGACTAGATTACCCCAGGGAACCCTTCCAACTCGACAGTTCTCGGATTCTGTTATTCCCCCACCCCACCCCACCCCTGCACGCTTCTCAACCCCGGAGCAGATGTAGAGGCTGCGTGGATTGATCAAGGGGTTAGCTAGCCTTGCTCGGGGGCTAGACCAGGGCCTTCTGTCGCTCCCCGCCCCCGACACACACACATTGAAAGGTGTAGGAATTTGCAGAAGAGGCCCAGCCATGCCCTTCGCCTAGGGAGCAGGAAGGAAGCGCACCCCAAACAGATGCGGACAGGCGATAACATCAAAATGCAGCGCCCGGCCTTCCTGTCCCTCTGGATCGGCAGCCGGGGGGGGGGGAGGCCCTGGGCAGGGGCTGCCTGGACTGGCCACGGCTTCCTGGGCTGTCGCTCCCAGCGTTGAAAGGCAACACTTCAAACGTTGGACTTGAAAAATAGCATTTTTTTCTTACTACCTTCCTCTTGAGCACCTGGGTTGCAAATACCCAAGAATCCTAAAATGCTATGTTATAAATGTTATGTCCTAAGATGCTGTGAAGTAGTGTGTGTTAGTGCAGGGGGGCAGGGTCAGAAAGATGCTAGCCCAGTGTTTCTCAGCCTTAGCAACTTTAAGCGGGGTGGACTTCAACTCCCAGAATTCCCCAGCCAGTGTGCTGACTGGGGGATTCTGGGAGTTGAAGTTCACCTATCTTAAGAGGTGCCAAGTTTGAAAAACACTGATCTAGTCCAATCAATAAATGCGCATACTTGGGGGACATCCATTA